TTGGGGGGTAAATTATGATTTATAGACTTACTGTGTACTAAAACTTGATGGATACAGTCTGCAAACATGTCCATGCAGGTTTTTTTATTTTTTTTTTATTTTATTTTATTTTTTTATTTTTACTTAACCCATTAAGGAGGTGTGAGGCCTTAATGCAGGGGTTCTCAACCCAGTCCTCAGGACCCCCTACCAGTCCAGGATTTGGGGATTACCTGGGTGTGTCTTAGGTGTTTAGAAAAAGGGAAACAAACACCTTAGACTCTAAGGTGTTTTTTTTCTAAACACCAGACACACCCAGGTAATCCCTAAACCCTGGACTGGTAGGGGGTCCTGAGGACTAACGTTGAGAACCCCTGCCTTAATGCCATGTGTTAAATTTATCTCAATTGCACCGTTTCTGTTTAAAAGGCACCCATAAATATTGTGTATACTTTTTTTAAATGGGAAATAGGCCTTTCCTCTAATAACCCATTTGTAAACACAATACAATACTAAATGGGAATGAAATATTGAAAATTGGAAAAATAATTTTCACTTTCACAATTAATACTTTTTACACACAACACGTGCAATTGAAAAAAACTAGCTCAAAATAGATTCACTAATTAGTTACGGTTGTTAAAATGCACAGCACGTCTAGGATTGAAATAATTTTATAGAAGTGGTATTAAAGCTAAAACTTTGGAAAATTTGACATGCTGAGATTACAATTTGTATAGTAGTCACAGAATCTGAAACCGCTACACAAAAATGTTTTTGTTTTTTTGTAGAAGGTACATCCCCAGGCTATTTAAAGGGACACTATAAGCACCGAATCTACTTCAGCTTAAATGGGACTCCAACCACCATGACCACTTCAGTGATTTTAAGTGGTCGAGGTGGTAGGAGTCAGTATGCACACTGCTTGAAACACTTCACATACTGAGATTTTTAATTGTGTGCTGGGGGCTAGTTGCACACCCCAAACACACATGACTTTTTCACCCTAAAACTGTTCCGGACTACCAATATCAATATTTTTCATCTGCCGTCAGTGCGAACAGGGAGCTGGTGATAGATGTGATCATATCGCTCTGTCTGCAAGGGGAAGATAGCTTATCTAGCCTCCTTCTGTTGCTCCTCTCTCTCCTTTCTCCCCTTCCATCAATAGCTCAGAGCACACGCATGTGCTCTGAGCCAGTTTCTCTATGAGAAACCTGTGATTGGACAGTACAAAGTAATGTCAAAGGGGTGCAGAAATCAGCGTTGGGAGCTTTGCCCAGTGCTTGATTCCTGGTGAGTAAAACTCTTTATTTTGCAGGTTTAATTGCAAATGGAGGAGTGTGGCCTTCTCCATAGTGTCCAACAGGGTATTTTAAACAGGTAAGGTTCATCCCCCTCAAAAGAGCTGGAGTAACCCTTTAATGGAGTGGTTTTGGTGAATTGAATTTGTAGATCATGACCCTGCAGTTTCACTGCTCGATTTTCTTCCATTCAAAAGTTAAAGGCACATTATAGGGTCAGGGACACAAACATGTATTTCTGATCCTTTAGTGTTAAAAACACCATCTAGTCCCCCTTGCCTCCCTAAATATAGTAAAATTGTAATTGTATTTAAGTCTGCCACTGCTGCCTCTGCCTCTGAACTGCCTGCTTGGCTGACATCATGTAAAGTGTTTCTCTGAGACAATCACAATGATTTCACGAGACTGTCAAGGAGGCAGAGTCAGCACAAGTCAAACACAGCCCTGGCCAATCAGCATATCATCATAGAAATGAATTGAATCAATGCATCTCTATGAGGAAAGTTTTTAGTTTCTGCATGCAGAGGGTGGACACACTGAGTTTGCAGCATTGCCCCAGGAAGCACCTCTAGTAGCCATCTGAGGAGTGGCCAGTGGAGTTATCCCTATGTGGTAATGTAAACATTGCATTTTCTCTGAAATTAGTGTTTACTGCAAAAAGCCTGAAGTGAATGATTCTACTCACCAGAACAAATACATTGAGCTGTAGTTGTTCTGGTGACTATAGTGTCCCTTTAAATCACTTTAATAGTGAAGCCCTAACCACACCTCCCCTGCATGTGACCTACACAATTCTTGTAAAGAGAGATCTAATGTTGAAAGTGATTTTATTGCACATTTTGTTTAATCTGTCATTTTGTAGCTCCTCCTTATAGGCTGCTACAGCCTGCAAAAGCCTCCCGTATGTGATTAAAGTTTAGATAACATAGCAAGAGATAAAAACTTATCAAATAAATGTTTTATTCCAACTTTAGAGTGATCTCCTGCCTATTTAGATTCAGAGATTTTTTTCCTGATAGTAAAATGAATAGTCCCCCCTTACCTTTTAGCCTTAACTGTGTCTGAGACTCCTTCCCAGGCAAGATAATCAGTGATGATGATCTAGCAGTGAGGGTGAGGGGTGTTTAGTCTGAGAGCCTGAGTCATTTACTGCACTAATACTTGGTGTTAATTGGTACGGACAAGGCAGAGAAAAGCTTTGCCTTGACATTATTGGGGATTGTCATGCAGTTCATCTGAACTGTGTGACATATTTCTAGGAGAGGGTGGATTTAAAATGCCACAGAAAGTGATGTGAGAGGGACAGAGCAGCTGTCTAACCTGTGAAAGGTGTTAAAATATTAATGTTAACAATGTTATTTGGTAGTTTTAATTATAAAAATGAATTATTTAAATTGTTGCTTTATCATGTTTTAATTGTAATCACAAGGATTAAATATGTAAGAATATTTACATTGTTACTGTGTGGTATCCTATCGCTATCTGCTTTAACACCTGCCAGTTTATTTTAACTGTACACAGCTTCCACTTTCATTCCTCCTGTGTCAAGTATGTGAGAAATTGGCTTATAGTTGATATTATTTGCAAGATAAATGATATTTAATTACTCACTGTTTACGTAAAAGATCAAGAGACACCCCTTAGGCCATTGGTTATCTTGAATGTTTGGAATCCTTTCAGATATATTGGGAGACATACTCTTTAAAAAAATAAATAAGTAAATAAATAAAAATGTCAAGCTAGCTTTGAAAGTTCGATATCTTATACTACATGTTATGTTAAAATTATTATTTTTTTTCTTTGAGGAGGGTCTTTTATAGTAAGTCATTTTGCTAGGTTATCGTAGTCAGACATGACGACACTGTGAGTTATATTGTGTAGATTTTGTTCTTGACCTTCTTTAAAGGGATACTATAAGCACCCAGATCACTTCAGCTCATTAAAGTGGTCTGGGTGCATATCCCCAGGTCCCTTAACCCTGCAAAAGGTAATTATTGCAATTTTTAAGAAACTGTAATAATTACCTATGTGGGTTAGCTCCACCTCTAGTGGCTGTCTAGAGCCACTAAAGGGACATTCTGGGCCGTTATGCAACTTTTGGTTGCCTAACCAACGCTGAACGTCCTCACGCTATGTATGAGGACATCCAGGGTCACCCAAAACCCCATAGGAAAGCATTGTATAATCCTGCACTTGCACAATGGGTCTCCCCCACAGGCTGACATAGGTGGACACTGTAGGGAGCTATAGTGCCAGAAAAAGAACTTTGTTTTCCTGGCATTATGGTTTCCCTTTAACCCTGCAATGTAAATTATTGCAATTTCAGAAACGGCAATGTTTACATTAAAGGGTTAAGATAGAATCTCGTGATTTTCTGGAATTTCACAGTTTGTCTCCATGAAACCACACTTTGCATCAGGACATCCTGCGTGTTGAAATCCCCCATAGGAAAGCATTGAATATTTTTTTTTTTTTTTCCTATGGGGAAGGCCTAATGCTTTCTAGTTGCTCACCATGCATGCGCATAAGGTTCCTCTGTATTGCTGACATCGAAGGAGGAGCACTCTCAGGGCTGGAGTCAGGTATTTAAGTTTTTTTGTTTGGTTGTTGTTGTTTTTTTAACCTATACTTGGCAAGGTTGTCCTGGACAATCATTTTAGTGCATTTGGGATACAGTTTTGTATTCCAAATGCTATAGTGTTTCTTTAACCCCTTAAGGACCAAACTTCTAGAATAAAAAGGAATCATGACATGTCACACGTCATGTGTCCTTAAGGGGTTAAAGGAACACTACAGTCACCAGAACAACTACAGCTTATTGAATTTGTTCTGGTGAGTAGAATCATTTCCTTCAGGCTTTTTGCAGTAAACACTGTCTTTTCAGAGAAAATGCAGTGTTTACAATACAGCCTAGTGATAACTTTACTGGCCACTCCTTAGATGTCGGTTAGAGATCCTTCCTGGGTCACGGCTGCCTAAAATGCATCCAAACATTCAGTATTTCCTCACTATGCATGCAGACACTGAACTTTCCTCATAGAGATTCAATTAATCTTTATGAGGAGATGCTGATTGGCCAGGGCTGTGTTTGAATCATGCTGGCTCTGCCCCTGATCTGCCTCTTTGTCAGTCTCAGCCAATCCTATGGGGAAGCACTGGGATTGGATCAGGCTAGCACTTCTGATGATGTCAGCACACTGCATGTTGTTTGCCTCAGAATTATTACCCTTAATTCTGCTTTAACCCACACTCCAATAAACTTCAATGTATGTTATAGGAGTGAGGAAAACAACCTGAATTAATATTAATTTAAAATAAATTAAATTATTGCTTAAGAGGCAAATACTATAAATGGGCAAATCTCTTGGTTAGCAATATGTACATAAATGTGCTTTAGCAATGTTTGTTTGTTCTGCAAATCTTGGCCTTTACATAGATTCAGTATGGGTCCATCACTTTGATTATAGATTCCAAATGGGAGGTTTTATTGTGATCATGGAGCTTCAGGCCCTCGTATTGGTTTAGGTCCCCCAACTAAAACTAGTAGCACACATTTGACTGTATAATGAGAAGTGGTTTTATTCCAATAACTATTTGGCATCCAGAGTTCTGCTATATACCTATAGAAGTATTCTAGATTAAAAAGACTTGTCTTTGTGCATATCTACATTGTCTGCATCATATCAACACCTGGCACACAGAGTCTGTTAATATATGCAGATGCTTCCTGTGGTTTGGCAGTATATTTTTTATATATATATATATATATATATATATATAATATAAAATATACTGCCAAACCACAGGAAGCATCTGCATTTTCAAATCTACCATGTAAAACATACTTGTTAGCAGGCAATGTTAGTACTTTCATATATGTCCTAAAAAGCTAAAGAACATGTAATAGCATCTAGAACAGTGGTTCACAAAGTGTGGGTCTCCCCCTGCCACCCTTTCTCCCCCTGCTCGCCCACTGTAACACTTTCTCACCTTGCCCTCACACTGCCCCCCACACTGTTACCAGCACACACACTCCCTCCCACACTGTCACCCTCACCTCCTGTCTCTGTGTGTCCTTTTGTGTCAGTGTGTGTATCTGTGTACATGAGTATCGTGTATCTATGTGTGGGAAACTAGGTGCCATTGTGTGTCTGTGTGTATCGCTGTGTCAGTGTGTGCATTTGTGTGTCTGCATGTGTCTCTCACATACTCCATACAAAAAACATGCTTACATTCAAAGACACATTGTGTATATGAATATTTTATAAACACAATCCACACACTGCATCAACTACACACACTGCATCCACTCCACACGTACGGCAAACACAAACATTACATAAAAACACTAAAATTATCTACAAACACCCCTTCATTCAAACACCAACACTACACACAAAAAGCACACCTACATTTCAAGTCCGGCACTACATACAAACACTCATGCATTCAGACGCAAACATTACGTACAAGTACATCATTACATTCCAATGGCAACAGTACATACAAATACACCCATACATGCACACAAATACTTAATACAAAAACATGCTTACATTCAGACGCTCAAACACTGCTCACAAATATAACCCTGCAATGATAAGAAAATGGTAGACCCCCTCTGGTATCGCATTGTTGAAGTTCTCCTACAGATGAAGATCTACCTTTTGACCATACTTGCACTAGAGAGGGGGGTGGGGGGGGGTGGGCAGGAAACATTCCACCACTGGGATAATCAATGTGATGCGCCTGGATGAAGGAGCAGGACACAGCATTTCTGGTTCTGAGTCTGTGAGTAAGCAATTGTATGTCTCTAAAACTGATTGCCATGATGTTCAAAGTTTCTGCTTCTAAACCTGCCATGACATCCCAGAATTATGCCTCTAAAACTGCCATGTTATGCCAATTTTATGCATCTAAAACTGATTGCCATGGTGTGCCAATTTTATGCTTTTAAAACTGATTGCCATGGTGTGCCAATTGTATGCCTCTGAAGCTGATTGCCATGGTGTGCCAATTGTATGCCTCTGAAGCTGATTGCCATGGTGTGTCAATTGTATGCCTCTAAAGCTGATAGCCATGGTGTGCCAATTGTATGCCTCTAAAGCGGTTTGCCATGGTGTGCCAGTTTTATGACTCTAAAAGTAATTGTCATGGTGTGCCAATTGTGTGCATCTAAAGCGGATTGCTATGGTGTGCCAATTGTATGCCTCTAAAGCTGATTGCCATGATGTTTTTTTTTTTTTTAAATATGCATTAAAAGCAAGTGGGTCTCGAAAAATTACCGTTTTGAAAAGTAGGTCTCTGCCCATAAAAGTTTAGGAAGCCCTGATATAGAAATTATTGGGATGTATATTGCTGCATATTTGGCTAATGATCTTTGCATACATTCACGACTTCTTAACCACCTTTATTGTCCAGCATCCTTTGCCATCTTCTTTTCACGTCAATTACTGTTCTTAATTAATTGGCTCAAAACACCATGGTCAGGACCCAAATGTTGGTCCCCATTAGATGGAGCAGGCACGCCATATTCACCAGACCCCAAGGATCTACCCACAATAAATAAAATTACCACAGCTTTCCTGATTTTCCTACTGCAAATGAAAGAGTCCAGTAGATATTGATATAGAGAAGAGTTTAATAAAGGTGTTCTCTGTATATATTTTGTTTCACATAATACAGATGACAACTGAGTCACTGAGCTAATTTTACAATTGTAGGATGGGTCACTGAGCAAATGTTACTATTGTAGGATGGGTCACTGAGTTAATTTTACAATATGTCACCAAACCAATGCCATGACAAATTTTTCCCTGTCAAAAAAAGGTTAAGAATTGCTGTATTAACAATGTGAACAACATTGTGAACAGGCAGGCTTTTCCTTTCAGTTCTATTTAAAACACATGCATGTAAAGAAGTGTATCAAAAGGTGTTTTTTGATATACCGTATTTATCGGCGTATAACACGCACTTTTTCTCCCTGAAAATAGGGGAGAAATCGTGGGTGCGTGTTATACGCCGGCCCTTTAAATTCTGCAGCCGCCTGAGCGCTCTATCAAGAGCGCTCAGGCGGCTGCAGTTGGTGTCATCCCTGAAATGAAAGATAGGAGTTGCGCTCAGGGCGGAGTCAGTCCGACCAGGCCAGTCAAGGAAACAGAAGAACTGACAGGAAGGGCACACTGAGCGCCACCTTCCTATCACCGGCCGCCGGCCACCGCTGGACACAGAGCCGCTCGGCCACGCTACAGGGGAGGGAGGGGAGGGGGGGGGGGCAACAAGAGGGAAGGGGGGCTAACAAGAGGGAGGGCTAGCAAGAGGAAGGGGGCAACAAGAGGGAGGGGGAGTAAGAAAGGGGGGTAAGAAGAGGGGAGGGGAGTAAGAAAGGGGGGGTAAGAAGAGGGGAGGGGGAGTAAGAAGGGGGTAAGAGGGGAAAGTTAGAAGAGGGGGAGTAAGAAGGGGGTAAGAGGGGGAGGGGGGAGTAAGAAAGGGGGGTAAGAAGTTCTTTATTTAATATTTAAAGGACCACTCTAGGCACCCAGACCACTTCAGCTTAATGAAGTGGTCTGGGTGCCAGGTCCCTCTAGGATTAACCCTTTTTTTGCTATGTTTATACTGAGGGTTAATCCAGCCTCCAGAGCCTCTAGTGGCTGTCTCATTGACAGCCGCTAGAGGCGCTTGCGTGCTTCTCACTGTGAAAATCACAGTGAGAGCACGCAAGCGTCCATAGGAAAGCATTGTAAATGCTTTCCTATGCGACCGGCTGAATGCGCGTGCGGCTCCTGCCGCGCGTGTGCATTCAGCCGATGACGTCGCGAGCAAGGAGGAGAGGAGGAGTACAGCTCCCCACCCGGCGCTGGAGAAAGGTAAGTGTTTAACCCCTTCCTCTCTCCAGAGCCCGGCGGGAGGGGGTCCCTGAGGGTGTATAACACGCACCTCATTTTAAGAAGGAAATTTCAGGGGAAAAAAAAACTTAAAGGACCACTATAGTGCCAGGAAAACATACTCGTTTTCCTGGCACTACAGTGGTCCTTTAAGTTTTTTTTTTCCCTGAAATTTCCTTCTTAAAATGAGGTGCGTGTTATACGCCGGTGCGTCTTATACGCCAATAAATACGGTATGTTCTAACATTTAACATCAGAGTTGAAAACAAAGTAAAACCAGAGTGCAAAAGGTTCTTGCACGTTGTTTCTAAAAGATAGGGGTGACACTACTGGAAGTGGAGCAATGGCATTGGGGCCCACTCTTGGCCACCTATCGGGAAGGGAGACTAGTGAGGACCCCAGCTGAGGTAAGAGCACAACCAGGTTTCGTACTATGAGACAAGGTCCCACAAGCAGCAGGAAGCAATGGATTCTGAGTCAGTTGCTGCCTCCATCCAGCCGCTCACTTCTTATTCTAGAATGCATGCTTCCTTTTTGAGGATTATGGAGGAAGCTACTGCTTCAGCCTGCTCTCGGTGTAGCACTCTCCTGTGGTTGCTGAGTGAGTTAGGCAGTCTGTCAGAAAACAGGGACTTGATGCCTGACTGGGAAGGGTGGTAAGGACTGTTTGCTATCTTACTACTTTAATTTATAAAACTAATTAAAATTGTCTGCACAATTTCAATTACTTGGTGTGTCTGTGAAATGTATGGTGTAGTCCAGGGGTAGGCAACCTTTGGCACTCCTGATGTTATGAATTACACCTCCCATGATGCTTTCCCAGCATTATGAGAGATGTAGTCCAAAACATCAAGGTTGCCTACTCCTAGTGTGTGCTGCATAGATACTGTCTGTGAACTGCATAGTATATCTGTAGTTATGTGGCAACCTACCGGTTGGTTTGCTTAGAGAGCTACTCGGTTGCAGTGAAACAGTAACCCTTGCAGACACAAACTTCCCAGGTGTCTGGGAGATCTATGAACAGGCAGGAAGTGGTGCCAGGCTGTCCGAATGGTCAGGACAGACAGCAAAGGAGTAAGGTCAAGAGTTAAGCCGAATGGCAGAAGCCAGGAAATGCACGAGCATGGTGCCAGAGGCCAAAGGTCGGAGACCAGTAGCACGGTCAGTGTCAAAGCCGTTAAGCAGGGTCAGGAACAAGAATCAGGAGGCCTCGGACGCCGGGACAGGAAAGTGTGGCAGCATGTGACAAATACATGGAGCATGTCTCTGGTAACTGCATGAAAATTATTCATGTTGTATGTCTGTAAGCTGTGTAGTGTGAGGACATGTACGTGTCTGTACCCAACTGATCCACCTGTTGGACCTGTTCAGTAAAGGCCAGGGGAGGTCTGCCAGGCAGTGAGAGAATATATTTGAGAGCCCAGCACTGTAGGAACCAAGATCCCCACAGTATGTAGATAGCATGGAGAATGGGCTGATCTATTTAGGTGAAGGAAAGGGGTTACTTGGCAGACGAATGTGGCCACCTATTTTGGGAGAGGGCTGGTGCTTAGTTGGCTGTGAAACATACAGATCTAATTTAGAAATACAGAGGATTTATAGGCAGACAAAATCTAATTCTGAAGAGGGATGTGAATATATAGGCCTGTGGGTATAGATTGTGTTGTTTGGCAGTGGCAAGTGGAGACGTTTTTGGATTAATTGTGTGGAACGTTAAAGGGACCCCCAACAACATTTGCACTACTGCCAAAATACATTAATCTGAAATCATGCACAAAAAGTGTTTTTTTTTTTTTTTATATCTTTTTTTTTCCCATTATACTTGAATAGCTAAATATTTAGTGAAAATCCACCCTGATAAGATCTTTAAATAATGCATAACAAATATTTTATCTAGTTACTTTCATGTCTGCTTCTGTTGCAGGCATGTTG